TTGCTGTGGTGACTATGGAAGGAGCTGAAGGAGGAGGCACTATGGGTGCCCCTTCTCTCCGTTTCCTTTGACGTCATCACTGTCAGCCTCAGAGAAGCCACATGAATAAGGAAAGATGTGATGGGGCTCCTCCAACTTCTTCCTGCGCTCACCCCAAGTCCTAGTGGTGACATAAAGTGTGGTCTTGGTGGTGGTCGTAGCCCCAGCTGCTGGGCCTAGAAAGCACACGCTTACCTTGTAGCTGCTTGCATCTGTCCAAACTCCCAGGCATTGTGGGGTCACTGGAACTCAGTTCCTCGGGCCTCCTGAGCGCTCTATGCAAACAGGGCAGCAAGGCACGTGGACACACGTGTTGTGTGTCTCTCCTCTGCTCATTTGCTCGCTCTATTGTCTTATCAGACCTCACAAACACAAGCTCAAAGGCAAAATTAGTCAAAATTTCAAGATGGTGACAGTTGAGCATTTAACCAGTGTAGGCCCTATTGAGCAGGGGATCTGTGCCCTGGGCCTGGGAAAATGTTTGATGGTGAATGAAAACCTTCCACTAGGTGATTGTATTTGACTTACGAAGTCTCCCAGGCAGAGAAGGGGGTGTGGTTGAGAGACCTAACCAGAGGCAGGTGAAGACCCAGCAAGATGGAAAAGTATGGTCAAATTGGAATGGTAGGAGAGTCCCGAGCCAGGGAGTAGTCAATGATGAAGCCGAATAGGAAAACTGGAGCCAGACTGGAAAGGTCTTTGTCTTCTATATGAAGGGTGTTGGACCTCTGTCCTCTGGCAACAGGAAACCACTGAAGATGCATTAGCCCTTGGGTTCAAAAAGAGAACTCTGTGCAGAAAGGCTGGATTGGAGTGGGCTGTCTACACCAAGGCTGAGGCACAGTCAAGGCTAGGGGTTACAGGGTCTGGGCTGGGTGGGGCTGTGGGGCTTGGGGGACAGGCTCATTTGAGAGAGAATGAAGAGGTATAACCAGTGGAGCTTGGTGAGCAGCCTGGTGGAGGTGAGAAGACAGGTAGAAACTAAGAGGGATCCTTGGATTTCTGTGGGCCACTGGGTTCTCTAACTTCTGAACCCACAGGCTTAGAAATACTGCAGGGTTGAAAGACCTTGGGAAATTCCCTCTTGAGTCTACTGCCTGCAAATTCTTCCATTTATTGTTCTCTCCTGCTCAGGACGAGAGCATTTGAGCAAGGAAAGGAAAACATTGCACAGGGCATGTTCGTTTTTAGAAAGCCCATGGCACAAATAAAAAATATAATATTTCAAGGCTCTGTTTATTGGCCGGGAAGAGACCATGTCTGCCTATAGGTTCTGGACAGTGCCCCAAGCCCCGCTGGCCTCTGTAAACACTCCTGAATGATAAATAATAGTAGCGCCAGTGTTAGAGCCACTCGTTAAGGTCTTGGCACGAGCATGGCATGATTTCAGAGGTCCCTCTTGAGTAGTAGTGTACAGTTCTCTTGAATTCCATGAGGTGGAGCTTCCTGCTGGTGGCTCCTAAGCAGTTATTGCTAGAAGAAGACCAAAAGACATGTTTGTGCCAACAGAAACTTGACATTGTTATTTATTTATTAGGCCAGAAGCGTCATCCATACCTAACATCTGCAATGTGTTACCTTACGTTGCGTAAGTTTCCTCGCTCCTGGGTAGGAGCCTGGGTTCATCTCACAGATGAGAGAAACAAGGCTCCTAGATGCCAGTGGCTTGCCTCGAGTGATTGTTCTAGTCTGTTCTGTTGCTAATAGCAGAAAATACCTTAGCTTGGTCATTTAAGAAGCTAGAAATTCATTCAGCTCCCGGCTTGAAGGTCCAAGGTCTACGGGTTGCAACATGGTGGGAAGGCGGGAGTGTGTGCATCTGTGTCTGCGGGTCTCTGTTCTGGCCTCGGGCCTTCCCCTTACAACCATACAGCCCTGCCCTGATAGCTTTATTCTTAATTTTTCCCAAAGGCTCCACCTTTCCCAGCCATAATTGGATTAAATTTTCACCCTTTAAATTACATTACAACCAAATCTCAACACGTGAATTTCGAGAGAATATTCAAATCATAGCAGTCATACTTTTGGAAATGCTGGAGCTTTCTCCCAGTGCTTCTTGGTTTAAGTTCCCATTAAACCAGTGCCTCATTTTTCCGTGGAAGTAACTTCTGTCAAAGAGTGAGGTAGGTGGTCCTGAGGGGTCTTAGGGGGAAGTGTTCATGGTCTCCTTTAATAAGGAGACTAAAATTTGTCTAAAATTTTACCTTAATTAGTGCATACTTTGCATCTTGCTGTACAGTATGACCAAGTATGCTTTTAACATAGAAATGTTTTAGATGAGTTAGCCAGTAAGATAGATGCTCCAAGACACAGGTCACATTTATCTTCTATTTTAGCCACTGGGTAGGCACTTGGGGTACCTAATATCACATTGAGATCAATTGTACTATATTATTACTGCCACTGTGGCCTGAAAATAGGATGAGGTGATATATGTTACGCACAGTAATGCTGTGTAACAAATAAGCCCAGAATCTCATCAGCACCCAACAACAAATATCATTTAGATCAGAAGTCACCTACAGGTTGGCTAGTCTTGGCTGGATTCAGTTATATGTCTGCCGGCCTGTTCTCAGTTAAGCTCACTGGGGCAACTCAGCTCTGCTCCAAGTATTCCTCATCCTCCTCCAGGGACTGTCCCGACCCGGGGGGACAGCCGAACGGGTTTCTTGAGTGAAGGAGTGAGAGCCGGGGCAAGCAGCGTAGTATTACAGCACGGAGACGACAGTG